CTGGCTCCTTGGGCTGATGTTTCCCTGGAAGTGGTGCCAGGGACCGGTGGGGATGGCCCGTTTTATGAGGAGTCCAGGCTGCAACGTGGAGCCCTTCCAAGGCGTCTTTCTCATGTCCTTGCTACTCCTCTAATAAGCCGGGATTAACCCTAGGTAAAGCGCACTGCGCTGGAAAGGGCCTATAAATTCTCTCTAGAACCCTGGCCCCCAGATGCTGGCTTTGCGTTTGGCAAACAAAGCTGAACAAATGAGCAGCCACTGGCTTGTCTCCCCACGCCCCCACCCCCGCCACGCAGCATGGGGTACACATCTCAGGAAGCAGGTTTATAAAGTGGGGGTCCCTATACGGGTGTAACTGGACGTGGCTCTTGTGCCAAGTCAAGCTAACACATGTTTTCTAGGACAGGGTCCCTCCGTCCCCAGCCCCCCCTCCCAGCACGCCCCCCTCACTCCTTGCCTGGGCTGGCCTGGGGCAAGCACCCTGAGCAGTTCACAGGCTCCCAGGCTCAGCAGGACCCCACACTTGGTTTCAGGCTTTGCTGCCGCCATCTTGAAATTCTTAGCTTCTCTTTGAACAAGAGGCCCAGCAGTCTCATTTTGCAGTGGGCCCTGCAAATTAAGGATCCTGACCCGGAGGAAGCCATGCTGGGCAGGACACCCCCTCCTGAAACACCTCCTGGGTTTTGCGTTTTCAGAGGAGAGCTGTGGGCTTTCCAGTGTGGGGGGTGGCCAGGTTTTCGCCACCTCACCACCTCTCTTTAGAGCGACAGCCCCCTTGGTGAGATTTTTAAAACGCTGCAGAAATTAATACCTATTGAATGATGAGTCGTCTCCAAGCCCTGCTGTGTGTACTTTGCATTTTTATCACGTAATCCTCACAAGAGCACGGCGAGGCAGGCACCATCGTTCCCCCATTTTAAAGATGGGGAAACGGACTCTCAGAGAGATCAATTCGGCTCAAATCAAACTCAGAGGCAGTTAATTCCAAAACATGTAGTTTTAACCACTAGACCATACAGCTTGATTATAAAAGGAAAATATGTTCTCCATTTCATTGGCAGTAAGATTATAACTGATGTGTTGATTGACTCTGAGTGTGGAGATGAAGGCAGGTTGGAAGGAGGAAAGTAATAGAAAAACATTCTTTTTCTACACCCCCCGCCCCCACCACCAAGCACACAGGAGGATATAAACTGATATTGCCGGGGCGCCTGGGTGGCGCAGTCGGTTAAGCGTCCGACTTCAGCCAGGTCACGATCTCGCGGTCCGTGAGTTCGAGCCCCGCATCGGGCTCTGGGCTGATGGCTCGGAGCCTGGAGCCTGCTTCCGATTCTGTGTCTCCCTCTCTCTTTGCCCCTCCCCCGTTCATGCTCTGTCTCTCTCTGTCCCAAAAATAAATAAACGTTGAAAAAAAAATTTAAAAAAATAAATAAACTGATACTGCCAGAAGGCCTTAAAGAAACAAGACTCTCCTGTAATTTTTTCCTGTTCACTTTGGTCTGGGCTTTACTTTTAAGGCTGTTGGCTTGCGTAACTGTAAGCTCTTTTGGCTCTTGGACCGTGGGATTCATTATCCCAAAATGGCTCGCAGGCCTCGGCGTTCGATATCTTCTCAAATGCATTCAGCAGACCAAGGATATGCCCAGAATCCAACATCAGGGAATTTTCCACAATTATAACCATCATCATCGAACAACCAAAGCCAATGTTTACTCATTGCTACGAGCCAGCCAGTTTACATATATCGATTTATTTAATCCTCACACCCACCATATAAGGGAAGCATCATCATTGTGATTTTACAGATGAGGACACTGAGGCCCAGAGAGATGATGTAATTCCATGAGATCACCTTGCTGGTAACTCTGGGAGCCAGGACTGGAATCAAAGAGCATACTCTTAACCCTTACGCCGCATGAAAGCCGAACGTCGTCTGTCAAAGGAGCTGTCCTGAGAACAGAACTCTAGACATGAATAATCCAGAGTAGTGGGGACTCCTGATCCTACAACCACAGTGACCGTCTGTCTTGACCTCCCCTTATTTATATACCACTGATGAAATGTGCACTCACTGGGAATGAGACCCGTCTGGACCCAGCCCAAGCAGCACTGGGGCTACATGGTTCTTTACCTACCCGCATTAGATTCCAGATGTCCATGACTCAAGAACATCATCTCCTTTAAGGTGCCTGGCTAGCTCAGTTGCTTAAGTGTCCGACTCTTGATTTCCGCTCAGGTCCTGATCTCACGGTTCATGAGTTTGAGCCCTGCATCAGGCTCCATGCTGACAGTGCAGAACCTGCTTGGGATTCTCTGTCTCCCTCTCTCTCTGCCCTTCCTCCCCTCTGCCCCCCTCTCTCTCTCTCTCAAAAATAAATAAACATTTTTAAATTATATCATTTCTGGGGCACCTGAGTGGCTCAGTTGGTTAAGTGTCTGACTTCAGCTCAGGTCATGATCTCACAGCTTGTGAGTTCAAACCCGGCATCAGGCTCTGTGCTGACAGCTCGGAGCCTGGAGCCAGCTTCTGATTTTGTGTCTCCCTCTCTCTCTCCCCCCCTCCACCACTCACATTTTCTCTCTCTCTCTCTCTCTCAAAAATAAACATTAACAAATATTTAAAAATAAAAATAAAAAATATCATCTCTCTCAATTTTCTAACTGGACCTACTGGGGAGTGATAACCAGTTAATCTAAGGGAACCCAGTCTCTGACATATACTGCTTGTGAAGCCACTAGCCTAAGGATAGAATTGAGAAGTGAATGGAGAAGACATTTCGCGAATCCCAATACCTCTCATTTAATTTCTTGCTGCACCACCGAGACGAAGGTATCAGTATCCCCATTCTACAGACGGGAAAGCAGAGGAAATTTAGCAACTTGCCCTAAGTCCCAGTACAAGGAAACGATGGAGCCAGGGATTCAAATCCCAGATCACTAAAAACCATGAGCTGAGTAACCTCTCCGAATCCTGTGCCACAAAGCCCAGCATCAGCCTTACACAGGACTGCTTAGCGTCTTCCGTCACGGCATGAAACTGTGCTCCCAAGGCCACATTCAGCCCCCACCCCTGCCGGCCACGGTATCCTAATCAATACGAGCTGCTCATTGAGGTTTTCTTGCCCCTGAAAAGGTTCTACACAAACATTTTTTTTCTCCCGACTAGATCATATTCATAATCATTTTAATGGGGCGATTTCATGTTTATGGAAGTCATAGCAACTTACCTTCAGCCAAACCTATCAGTCTTCTTTCTTCCTTTCCTTCTCTCTAATTCTGTGACTGTGGGAACCGATTACGCTTTAGAAAAAGTACTGCCCTACATGCCACTAACTTTGCAGCTGCACATGTAGGTTACTGTTCGGGGAAGAAAAGCACTTTTAAAAAGAGAGCTTGCGCCCCTCTGTCCACTCACCGTCACACAGAAAACACCTGCAGGTGCACACACTCACAGACCCATGTGCGCCCACTCATGCATGTGCACACAATCACACAGGCAAGCCCATAACGTGTGTGTGCACACGCGTGCGTGCGCGCACACACGCACACACACACACACACACAGATTGGCTCACTCCCTAAGACTCACTGACTGGGCGTTGAGGTTCTTGGAAAGCAGGCCATTCAGGTAAACAGTGTTCTTTCTGGAAAACCGCCTCTGCCCTCTTTGCTCAGACACACCTGCTCTTGGCTAGAAGCCAGCCTCAGGGACTTACCTGGTGTATTTTATTAAAACAAAGGCTACAGTCACTTTCCAGCAATGACTGCAGGGTGACTCCACACTGTAAACAGAATCTGTATTTACTGAGCCACACTTTTTTATCCACTGGCAACTTTTTTCAGACATGTTTCCAGTTTTATTTATTTATTAAGTGTACTTATTTTCAAAGACAGAGAGAGAGAGAGAGAGAGGGAGGGAGGGGCAGAGAGACAGAGGCGAGGGGACAGCGAGCCAGGGAGAGGAGGGAGAGAGAATCTGAGCGGGCTCCATGCTGTCAGCACAGAGCCCGATGTGGGGCTCGAACCCACAAACAGTGAGATCATGACCTGAACCGAAACCAAGAATCAGACGCACCACCCAGGTGCCCCAGACATGTTTCCAATTTCAATCTATTATAAATATTTATAAAAATCAAAAAATCAAGAACAATTATTACTGGGAAGTGACAATTTTCTTTATAAAGGATCCACCATGCTTTGAAAGAAGACTCTTGGTGCACACAAAACACGGCTATCAACAACATTTAACTATACGCCTGGCTTTTCAGGGACCTCCTTATCACATAAAGCGTGGGGGATGATCACTACTGAACCCACAGATAATTAAAACTGCAGGTTCTTCTGAACAGACAAACACAATGCTGAAAGAAACGTCTTTGATTTCAAATCAAAAATTTTAAATGCGTTGAGCAGAATTAATTGGTTGCGAAAAAGAAAGGGGAAAGTTGCCTCAGAAGGCATTCAGAAATTCCAAAGACAAACTCAAGGAGGAAAAAATAGATGTCACCTGCAAACCTCCAAACATGGGGTCTTTTCCCAAGTCTTGCAGTCTTGAGGTTTCCTCTATACCCAAAGTCCAAATCCTTTTTCTCCCTTCACCGCCAGCTGGCCCGAGGTCATCAAGCAGTGCTAAATATAGGCCAGCCTCTTTTTGTGTTTCCTTTCGCTTCCTTTTGCGTCCCTTCGCTGGGGACATGGTCATGTTTTAGCCCAGAACAAACCCAGGCAAAATTGACCATTTTTCCTGGAAAGCGTATGTGTCTAATTCCTAATTTTGCAAGAACCAGGCAGCGTAAATTTAGTTTATTAAAACATGCATTTAGCACATTTGCCAGAGTGGTGATATTTATTCCCCCTGAACTTTAAATCATCTTGGACGGTGAAAGAGATCTTTAATTATGTATAGACGCAGGACAACAGAACACAACACGCTGGGTTTCTTTCTTTAATATATATTTCCCAAGAGCAAGAAAATGATAGGTTAAGCATTTCACGTGCTTGCAGACTTCATTTTATTTCCATCAAGTGCTGGAGTTAAGTCAAATTTTCATTCTGACATTTAAAAAACCTCCACTATAGGAAATACATAGGTTTAAAATTGGCCTGCTGTTTTTCCATTGGATTCAGGAGGAGACTAGGAATTTGCAAGAATAGGCTTTTCCAATTTTCCACGGCATCTGACCTGACATCTGGAAATAGCCAGAGAGAAATAACTGTGCATGTGTGAAGTGTTGTGGACTTTGCCCAACCCCTTTACATACAGCATCTCATTTTAAGCCTCCACACAACCCTGATAGGAGCTTAACAATCCTCTTTTCTGATCTATTTAACAGAAAAAAAAAAAAATCAAGGTCTGGAGGAGTTGGGCAATTTGACCAAGGTTTCACAACTAATACATGGAGGAACTGGAACCAGCATTCAGACTTCCCGAATCCCAGTTCGGGCCTTTCTGACCACGCTTACCACCGGAATCCAGTTTTCCAGTGGGGCCTGGGGGCCATTGGCAACATGGCCTCCAGCGTAAGAGATTTCTTAACAGAAGACTCCCATGGTGGTGCTGGAGAGTTCAAGGCTGCTTTCTCCTCCTCCTCCTCCTCCTCCTTCTCCCTCTTCCTCTTCTTAATTTATTGTTTTGGAGGGAGAGAGAGCGCAAACGAGGGAGAGGCAGAGAGAGAGGGAGACACTGCTGACAGCAGTGAGCACCACGCAGGGCTAGCATTCAAAAACCATGAGATCTTGACCTGAGCCGAAATCATACGCTCAACTGACTGAGCTACCCGGGTGCCCCGAATTATCAAGGCCTTCTGAGGGATTCTGGAGGGAACCTGCGAGGACCTCCTTCACCCAGCCTCCAACAGCACCTGCAGTGACTACCCAGGAACCGCCTCTCCGCCGGCCTTGACTCCCTGTCAATCCCAGCGGATCAGTGCGATGACCAGAAGTGCCATGCTCAGAATGTGCCCTGGGGCTGGTTATTCTGGGATCAGCGAGCAAAGGTGCCATGAGCACCGGCCACCGTACAAGTGCAGGGAATGAAGGTGTCACTTCAGGGTCGATTCCGTGACCTTGCTTTCCATGGTGGGTGACCTGAAAGGTGCCCATTTTTTTTACAACCCTGCCTTTCTCTCCTGAATCTTTCCACCACACATTATTACTATTATTAGAATTTGAGAGCGAGAACACGCATGAGCCGGGGAGAGAGAGAATCCTAAACAGGCTCCACGCTCAGCATGGAGCCCGACACGGGGCTCGATCCCACGACTCTGGAATCGTGGGACAAAATCAAAGGCCAGAGGCTTAACCAACTGAGCCACCCAGGCGCTGCCCACCACACATTAGTTCAACTTCAGATGACTGGCTGCCTCTTCGGAGTGCAAATCCTTTTCGTTGCAGGGGTGAGGGGTGGGTGTGGGAGCTGGGAGAGGACAGGCAGCACACTGCGTAAGTTATATTCATTAAAACCTTAATTCTACTGCCTTTCTCAGATTCTTTATCAGACCTGGCAAGGGTTCAAACTGGGAGCTGGTGGAAGCTGGTAGAAGCGTCCCCACAGAAGTGTTTTCCTGTGCAGGCTCTGAGGTCAGCAGTGCCTTCAACTTGACCACTCTAGACAGAGCATCGGCTCCCCTGTGCACGACCGGCTCCCGTGCTCCCTCCCGAGGACACCCACCGCCTACCTAAAGGCAGGTGTCTCAGGTCGTCATCCGGCTGAACTCTAAGTCCCTTCCGCCCAGGACGTGGCATTGGATATTTCCTGTTGAGGGCTGAGCCGCAGGGAGGCGACAGGCTCAGATCCAGAGAGAACGGGGCATCTTCCCTTTGGAGTAAGCAAAGCAGTAAAGTGAGACTCAGGAGGGGAGGCTGCCACGGGAGAAGGGTTACTGAGATACAATAAAAACACGCTTGACAGTTTTGCTTATAATGGAGCCACCACAGGGAGCTTTCCGAGTGCCCACTACCGCCAATTCGCAAAAAGGCTGACCCTTCAGCATGAGACCTCAGCGGACAGAGAAGGTCCCTCACCTCCTGGCACAGGGCAGAAGGGTAGACTTACCTCCTAATCCCAGACTCGGGGAGTGCGCGACCTGGTCAATAACCTCCTACCCTTTGCAAACGTGTTCTCATTTGCTTGCTCCCATCCGCACCGCCTCATGACAAACTGTCTCTTTGCGGAGTCCCCGGTCCTCTGCCGCCCTGTACTTCGCAGAGAGTCTCTCTCATTGCTGATCTCCTTTTTGATGAGCTAACCCCTTTGCATGTTCAGATTTGTTTTTTGTGTACATTCTTTTCAAACTGACGAAAAGCAAAGGGACAGCAGGGCGTTCTTTGATTTCTCTCTCCTGCACATGGAAGATGAATTCTCTGTGTGTGTTTAGAAGTGATTTGCTTCCTCCCAGATTTTATTTTCATGAGGTTAAGAAAGCAATTGAGCAAGGAGTTAAGGATCCCAGGAACCGCGACTGTGGCCGTGTATTACCTACATGCCACTCTCTGCTTGTGTTCAGACTGGGTTCACCAAGAAAACGGAAGCATCTTTTCTTGTGTCCTTCTCTTCACGTTAACATGTGAAATTACACTAAGGGACAAGACTATCGTTATTTTATCATTATTGTTTACTTATATCTGCTTTGTTCCGGAAACAATTTAAAGCAGCATTATGGGGGCACCGGAGCCGGGGGGCGGGGGGGGGGGGGGTTTGTAGGGCGGGCTAAGTCGGTTAAGCATTTGACTTCGGTCCAGCTCGTGATCTCACAGTTCGTGGGTTCAAGCCCTGCATCGGGCTCTGTGGTGACAGCTTGGAGCCTGGAGCCTGCTTTGGCTTCTGCGTCTCCCTCTCTCTCTGCTCCTCCCATACGCGCTTTGTCTCTCTCTTTCAAAAATAAATAAGGGGCGCCTGGGTGGCACAGTCGGTTAAGCGTCCGACTTCAGCCAGGTCACGATCTCGCAGTCCGTGAGTTCGAGCCCCGCGTCAGGCTCTGGGCTGATGGCTCAGAGCCTGGAGCCTGTTTCCGATTCTGTGTCTCCCTCTCTCTCTGCCCCTCCCCCGTTCATGCTCTGTCTCTCTCTGTCCCCAAAAAAATAAATAAACGTTGAAAAAAAAATTAAAAAAAAATAAACAAAAATAAATAAATATTTTTAAAAAATTAAGCAGCATCATGTATGAATTTCTGATCTATGTACAGGAGCAGTTCTATTTGATTTTTTATCAAATCTACTTTTTAATGATTGATATGTTAACGATGTGATTAATCCATTGGGTTTGATTCATTTAGATCATCATTTACGTTTCATCAAGATGTGTTTTTAAGGCGATACTTGATGTCCTCCTCAAAATGCTCCATTTCTCAGCATGGGGAGCCTCTATCTTCTATAAGCAAACAAAATCTGAACCACGGCCTTCTGACTGACAGGAAGCTGAAATCTAAGTGTGGGGAGGTTAAGTAATCCCACCAAGGTTTGCAGAACACTGGAGAAGCCCGCTTTCCCTTATGCCTATGTGTTTTCTATAAGGTACATTTCTCTATAAGATACACAAGTCTGGGGTGCCTGGGTGGCTCGGTCGGTTAAGCATCTGACTCTGGATCTCAGCTCAGGTCATGATCTCATGGTTCGTGAGTTCAATCCCAGCATTGGGCTCTGTGCTGATGGCATGGAACCTGCTTGGGATTCTGTCTTTCCTTCGCTCTGCCCCTCACCTGCTTGTGCTGTCTCTCTGAAAATAAATTAAAAAAAAAAAAAAAAAGATACACAAGTCTGTACAATTCCTCAAAGAAATCTAGGAGACAATAATCACCACCTACCTCCACAGCAGGCTGAAACAATGCCCTGAAAGCCTCGGGCCCCAAGCATAGGCTTTCTCCAGCTGGTAGAGAAAACTGTGCCCAGGAGCATCCTTTTAGGACACCCCACAGTCAGGATGTGACCTTCTGGGCATTCCGAGTAGGTATGTTGAGTTCATACAGAGTTGAGTTCATGTGAAATAGAATGGTTAGGCCAGAAAGGTGGCATGTGTTTTTAATAGGACACAGAACATCAAAAAATGTTGAATACACAGTGAGAAAACTGTTCTCTGCTTTCCTTTTCATTTTCAATTCCTTTTCAGTGCCTCCAGTGACATTAAGGAGAAAGTCTCCACTAAAAGGTAGTAGACATTTAACACCCCATCTCCCTCTGGCTAAGTTTAACTATCAATAAGGAGCTGGCATCAGGTAAGAACCTTGGGCAAGCAACAGTAACCAGCCACAATCTACTGATGACGCTTCATTTTTACTGTATTTGGATTGTTTACCTTCTCTTTCTTTTTTTAAATTTTTTTAAATGTTTATCTATTTTTGAGAAAAAGGGACAGAGCATGAACAGGGAAAGCGCAGAGAGAGAAGGAGACACAGAATCCCAAGCAGGCTCCAGGCTCTGAACTGTCACCACAGAGCCCAACGTGGGGCTCAAACTCATGAACCACGAGATCACGACCTGAGCTGAAGTCAGATGCTTAACTGACTGAGCCACCCAGGTGCCCCAATGTTTACCTTCTCTTTCTATCAAGTGATGCTAGTTGTCCACTGAGGTAGTGATATAGAGTCTCATTTAAAATAAACATTTTTTAATGTTTTAAAAAATTAAAATAAATGATTGTATAGGTGATATGTTTTTTAGGTTTATTTATTTATTTTGAGAGAGAGAGAGAGTGAAAGAGAATCCTAAGCAGGCTCTACACTGTCAGTGCAGAGCCCAATGTGGGGCTCCAACTCACAAACCGTGAGATCATGACCTGAGCCAAAATCAAGAGTCAGATGCTTAATTGCCTGAGCCATCTGGGTGCCCCTGTTAACAATGACATTTGGGGTAACAGGAAGAAAAACAAAAGGAGTCTTCAATGAAAGACAAGAAGCTAATGTCCTGAGAGCAAAATTGGCATCAATCTCAGAAGAGTTGAGTCTGAGGCCAATACTCCTATCGATAAGCCATGGGAGGTGATGAATGTCGGGTTATTGATCTCTCCACCTATAAAGGGGATATAATAAAAATATTCACTTGGGCCACCTGGATGACTTGGTCAGTTGAGCATCCAACTTTTGATTTCAGCTCAGTTCATGATCCCAGGGTCGTGAGATCAAGCCCCATATTGGACTCCGTGCTGACCATGGAGCCTGCTTGAGATTCTCTCATTCTCTCTCTCTCTCTCTCTCTCTCTCTCTCCCTCTCTCTCCCCCCTCCTCCTCCTCCCCTGCTCACTCACTCTCTGTAAAATACATTTTTAAAAATTAAAAAAATATATTAACTTGACCTCTTTACAGATTGGTGTTGAAGGACCAAATGAGAGTGTGTAAGGGAAAGTCTGTTACAAACTATAAAATATTATATCCAGGTAAGGGATTATCATAATAAATGAGCAATGGGTGAGGGGGGAGATAAGGGAGGATCAAAGCAAATTAGCCTAAAGAAAATTAATTAGCTAGAAAGAAAATTCTACCGTCCCATTAGGTAGATGGACCTGGGTTTTGGGAAGCCGGGAAGTGACCAGATTGTCATTTGGTTTGTACAAGGGGAGGGATCAGAGGAAGAAAAACTATCAAAAACAAACAAACAAAAGCCTCCTTCAAAGGGAAGGACCCCCCCCTCTGGAAGAGAAGAGAAAGCTGGGGAGACCCTAGGTCTGGGTGAAACTCTCATGAGGGTGAAACCACCACATAATGGGCTCTGTGCCTCTTTCCTCACCTGCTCTGGTCCCTCTGAACACGGTTGTGTCCTGACAAGTCCTGGCACATGCAGGTAAGCACTTTGGGTCCACTGCACATGAGGCCACTCGAGTTGTCCTAGATGAAGGGGACGGGAATGGGCAGAGGAAACCGCATTGAGGCGACAACGCTGTTGGCTTCCCTCAGTACTGAACACCCAGGACCCAGTACAAGTGCCTGAAAGAATGGGGGTCCAGGAAGGACTCATTTGGTGAGTGCAAGGAAGAAGAAAGTGGGGGAGGAAGGGAGGGAGAGAGAGAGCAAGAGGAAGGAAGAAGAAAAAAGCTCCAGCTTCCAGACCAACACCCCAAGTGAGGGGAGGCCAAAGTGGGAATTTTATCCCATGCCTCCCGGGACGGCAAGGAGACCTTAGGGGTGCTGAGCGTGGGGCTGAGAGTCTACGGAACTGACTCACAACCTCCCTTTGACCACCTGCTGTAACTGGGGGATGCTGGGCCATTCCTACCTTCTCTGACTGTGAGCATGTCTCACCAACACCATGGGAATGGGCAGACCAGCCTCACACGGAGTAATTGACATTAAATGGGAAGAAAAATATACGCACGCACACATAGTAAGATGGGCCAGAATTGTAGCTTTAGTCGTTATGGTTGTTGGTGTTATTACATACGCTCTACGAAAACGCAGGGGAATTATTCTGATTCTGTTAAAAGTGTGACACGATATGGATTTTCGTTCCATAAACAGATTCTTATAACTTTGCTTCCTAATTAGACTGTATCTGTCATGTCTGTAATTCCTGTGTAATTAAATTGAAATTAAATGTCAATTTGCTTTGAATTACAGAGTAATTCTATGTATACATGCCACGCAATCTGCATTTTGTTAGGAGACGACAACCAAAAATATCCTGACGGTCCCTCTGCAATTACAAAGTGATCTGATTAAGATCAGCGTTGACAAACGACCTGCCAAGGCCTGAAGAAGAAAAACCGTGGGCTGGTGGAGGGGTTGGCAGAGGTTAGGTGCAGCAGGGGAGGGGGCAGTGAGCTCACCGATGACCCCTCCACTCCCCAGGAACCCATGAAATCCTGAACTGACAGTGATCGCTTGGGCAGGCGGTGGGGGTGATCCCTTAAATGAAAAAACAAAAAAAAATAGAGACCTCAATTACACAACACGCTAACTTGCACGGCTTTCTCTCACTCTCGAACCCAGCTGTTTTAATTAGGTTGGCGTTTGAGGTCCTGAATCCCCGGGGCCCCAAAGACAGTGATAAATGTAGAGAGAATATTTCAAACCTCATCCAGGAATGTGATCTTTCTGTAATACATAAAATGCCTTCCATCCTCCAATTAAAAAAAAGAGAGAGAGAGAGAGAGAGAGAGAGAGGCATGGAAATAATTCCTATTCCATTCCTATCGTATCTGTATCGGTCCTGAGCACAGGAGCCATGGGAAAAGATGAGCTAGGTGGGGACGCGGGGCAAGGAAAGAACCAGAACGTGAAGGAACCAGGAGCAAATGTGGCAGCACAGAGAGGGAAAGATTCCCACCCGGGCTTTCTCCCTCGTCTCCTTCCTCCAAGGCCACTCTGTGGCCAAGGAAGGTCACTTTCCCTCAGCCTCCCTGCCCTCGGCTTTGCCCCCGGGTGCGCTGCTCCCCCAATTATGGCTTCTTTTGGACACTTCACCAAACTCTACCCTGGCACTCCTCTGTGATGAGGAGCTGGTTATTTCCCGTTTACTCAGTGGACGTCTCCTTCTTCTGCTCCTCCCCGGGCCTCAGACAATCCCCTCCACCTCCCGGCAAAGTCTGCAGGTCCCCCCAGTGCCAGCCTTCAGAGGTGGGGGAAGGGCCTCGGAGATTACGGGCCAGCAATGCCCAAATCAAGGGGCCGGTCACAGGCTCCCTTTCTTACACACTATGACCC